ATTCACACCAGTGCAGTCAGTTCCAGTCCGTTTCCGGTGCAGAAAAAATTGTCGAAAAAGCTGCTTTTCTTTTGCACAGAACCATACTGGAACGCAGCAAACTGCATCAAAACTGAACCGGAACTGCGTGTGGTGTGAACTGTAAGCAAAACGTATCCAGAATGCATCCAGAGTGCGTTTTTGTGGTGTGAACTGGCCCTTAATGTATAGGGACTCACAGCAACCGTCCTGCAACCACGTGCTGTCCATGCAGTTGTGGTGCGGTGGTCCAGCGCTGCAGGAGCCATTATTGCAGTACACAGAAGTTTACCAAACTTTTTTTTTTTGTTTCATCAAAGGGGTTTAGCATGATCGAGAAGAACACAAATCGTTACACCACAGGCCCACCTTAACAGGAATTACCCCCCCCCCCACAATGAGCACTTTTAAAGGAATCAGAGGTGGCAATGTGGATTCAATACACTAACAAAAGAAAAGACGCATTTATACGCAGAGACCTAAAGAAGAGAACAGAGAAGTAAGTGGCTTCCGTGTAAACCAGCCCATGAAAATGAAAATGTTCGGCGGCCCTATAAAAACGCTGACATGACTGATCTGCAGTTGGACACACAGCTGCAGCACAGGCACCACGTGAAATAAGTCCACATACCAAACATGTTTCAGCCAGAACAAAGAGTTTCGTGGGAGAATGAAAGTCGGTTTAGGACAAGACGTGTCACTCTATTACTATGTCACACTGGGCCACTGGGAGCCTTCAATGCTGACAGCTGGATGCCTACAGGGGGGGTGACGAGACCTGCGTCCTTAACCCTTTCATGTCTTCTGTGACAACCTACTTAATGCTCTTCCACTCAGCAAATTACATCCTCTTCTGCCCACCCTGAGCACAAATCGGTCCACTGTTCTCTGCCAATCTCCACACCGACTGATATTTACAACATAAAAATCACAACCGCTGTAGTATGTTATATTAACTCCCAAATAATAATAACTCCCCAGTCATTTTATATGTGTAATAATAACTCCCCAGTCATTTTATATGTGTAATAATAACTCCCCAGTCATTTTATATGTGTAATAATAACTCCCCAGTCATTTTATATATGTAATAATAACTCCCCAGTCATTTTATATGTGTAATAATAACTCCCCAGTCATTTTATATATGTAATAATAACTCCCCAGTCATTTTATATGTGTAATAATAACTCCCCAGTCATTTTATATGTGTAAATAATAACTCCCCAGTCATTTTATATGTGTAATAATAACTCCCCAGTCATTTTATATATGTAATAATAACTCCCCAGTCATTTTATATACGTAATAATAACTCCCCAGTCATTTTATATGTGTAATAATAACTCCCCAGTCATTTTATATATGTAATAATAACTCCCCAATCATTTGATATACGTAATAATAACTCCCCAGTCATTTTATATACGTAATAATAACTCCCCAGTCATTTTATATGTGTAATAATAACTCCCCAGTCATTTTATATGTGTAATAATAACTCCCCAGTCATTTTATATGTGTAATAATAACTCCCCAGTCATTTTATATAAATAATAACTCCCCAGTCATTTTATATACGTAATAATAACTCCCCAGTCATTTTATATGTGTAATAATAACTCCCCAGTCATTTTATATGTGTAATAATAACTCCCCAGTCATTTTATATGTGTAATAATAACTCCCCAGTCATTTTATATATGTAATAATAACTCCCCAGTCATTTTATGTATGTAATAATAACTCCCCAGTCATTTTATATGTGTAATAATAACTCCCCAGTCATTTTATATGTGTAATAATAACTCCCCAGTCATTTTATATATGTAATAATAACTCCCCAGTCATTTTATATGTGTAATAATAACTCCCCAGTCATTTTATATGTGTAATAATAACTCCCCAGTCATTTTATTATAATAATAACTCCCCAGTCATTTTATATGTGTAATAATAACTCCCTTAAAGGATTAAGGTCTGGAGACCAGCTAGGCCACTCCATGACCTTACCGTGCTTCTTAATGAGCCACTCCTTTGTTGACGTGGCCGTATATTTTGGGTCATTGTCATGCTAGAAGACCCATCCGCGACCCAACGGTCATTGTCATGCTGGAACACCCATCTACGACCCATCTTCAGTGTTCTGAGGAAAGAAGGTTCTCATCCTAAATTTTACAATACGTGGCCTCGTCCATTGGCCCCTTAATGATGCAAAGTTGGCCTGTACCTTTAGCAGAGAAACAGCCCCAAAGCATAATGTTTCTACCTCCATGCTTGACTGTAGGGATGGTGTTCTTAGGGTTATAGTCAGCATTTTCTTCCTCCAAACACTTTGGGTTAATGCTAAAGAGGTCAGTTTTGGTCTCATCTCACCACAGCACGTTCTCCCAATCCTTCTCTGAATCATTTAGATGTTCATTGGCAAACTTCAGACGGGCCTGGACATGTGCCTTCTTGAGGAGGGGACCTTGCAGGCGCTGCAGGATTTCAATCCATGGTGGTGTATTGTGTTTCCAATGGTTTGTTTGGTGACTGTGGTCCCAACTGCCTGGAGATCATTCATAAGCTCCTCCTGTGTAGTTCTGGGCTGATCCCTCACTTTTCTCATGATAAAGGATGATCATGAGTAAAGTGAGGGATCAGCCCAGAACTACACAGGAGGAGCTTATGAATGAATACCTCATGAGGCGAAATCTTGCATGCAGCTCCAGACCGAAGGCCATTGGTTATTTTATATTTCTTCCATTTGCGAATAGTCGCTCCAACAGTTGTCTCCTTCTCACCAAGCTTCTTGCTGATGGTCTTGTAGCCCATTCCATACTTGTTCAAGTCTACAAAGTCCTTTGTTCAAAGTCCTTTGACAGCTCTTTGGTCTTGCCCATGATGGTGAGGTTTGAATGGAAGAATAATATTCTGCGGACGGGTGTCTTTTATACACATAGCGAGGTGTTTTTAGGGGCACCTTCTAAGCCCTGGTTCACATATATGCGGCTCTGCGGGCTGCATCTTGCGGGTGCGAGAGCCCATTCATTTGAATGGACTCCCGTAACATGCAGGGAAGAAGTCCCTGCACTTCTGAAACAGCAGCCCGCACAGGAACCTCGGTTCCCAGTACGGTTGCGGTTTCCAGTGTGGGCGCCTTGTCATTAGAACTAATGGCACCCGCCCGCAGTCCGCATTCCTCTGTGCGGGTGGTGCGGCAGCACGGATTGTCGTGTGGATCTGCAGCGGCACCACCCGCACATATGTGAACCAAACCTTAAGGGTCTTTCACAGAAATGTTCCGATCCGGTCCACCCACGTTTTTCAGGCGGACCCGATCGGAACCTCCATTCTCCTCTATGGAGCGGCGGGTGTAAACTAATATGTGTCCGTTTACACCCGCCGACATCCAATCCGATCCGCCAAAAAGGGACGGGTGGGGATCCAATTACCCTTCTGTCCGTGGTATCGGATGAAAACAGACAGGTGGTCCGTTTTCATCCCGCCGCCCATTGAGGAGAGCGAGCGGCTCTGTGTCTGCTCTGCAGCAGCGGAGGGGACACAGGGCTGTCATCTGCTTGCTCAGCGGGGTTCAGTGAAGAGATCCCCCACTGAGCAAGTGGATCCGCTAAACGGGTCTGTCCCATGTGAAAGAGCCCTAAATTGACAGGACTAATCTGTGTACCACATGAGCACATGAGCCAGTCTGTGGGAGCCAGAATCATTGTTGGTTGGTAGGGGATCAAATACTTATTTTAGTCACTGAACTGCAACTCCATTTATAACATTTGCATCGTGTTTTTTTTCTGGATTTTTTGGTTGATATTCTGTCTCTATCATTTTAAATACACCTACGAGAAAAATTATAGACCCTCCGTGTCTTTGTAAGTTGGAAAATCTACAAAATCTGCCGGGGATCAAATTATTATTTTCAGTTTTGGGGTGCACACCCTAATTCAACAGACAGCGCACACCTGTGGTGCCTACTGTCCCTGCCAAAGTCATACAGAAAAAGCAGAACCTGGTTGTGGAAGCTCATTTATCCCCCTAAGGGCTCGTTCACACTAGGCTGTTTTGCCAACGCTTGCCAAACGCCCCTATAGCGTTTGGCAAGCGTTGGTCCGGTGTTTGCGGAGCGATTTAACGCTCGGCAAACGCTCCGCAAACGCCGCATGCGCGGTTTAGCGGCGGTTGCTAGGCGTTTGCCGAGCGTTAATAACGCCCCACAAACGCCTATAATGCATTTGAGTGGTGTTACCGCTCCGCAAATGCCCCGCAACCGCGTCGCAACCGCACCGCAAACGCCGGCCGGGCGTTTGCGGAGCGGCACCATAGACGAGAATAGGAGGCTTCAAAGCCTCCTGACTCGACCAGAGGCGTCCGTTTTGCCGCGACGCAACGCGACGCGACGCAAACGCTCCCGTTAGAACAGCACCATGTGCTGTAATGTGCAGAATTGGCAGAGGCGTTTGGGAAGCGGTAAAAACGCTTCCCAAACGCCTCTCTGCCGCCTGCACACAAGGCTAGTGTGAACGTAGCCTTAATGGTTCAGAGTGGTACAGGCCATTAGGAATGAGGGACAACAAAGAGGTAGGAGGCATCAGGTAGACACATTCACACCAAAGACGAGTGTAAGCTCTTTTTCCAGAATCGGAAGCCATGACAACCTCTGACAACATATTTACCGGCGTCTGTGCTGTGCTAGTGACACCCTTATTTCCTGACACAGAAGTGATAGGACTTGACAGGAACATTAAACCTTCCACAACTTCATCCTGAACCAAAGAGAAACATTGTGGCTGGAGCCGGGCTTTGAAGATACAAAGTATCAGTGCGATGAATATCTGTCATATTGTAGAATACACGTCAGGATTCCGGAGATAAAACTCGGGGCGATTTGTGTAATGCACCAGACTAGATGTTACCCCCCCCCCCCCATCCTACGGAGCCCCTATAAATAGATAATCTGTATGTAGCAAGGAGGTGGCGGCACGTACCGTGCATCTGATACGTGTATGGCGCTTGCCCCGGCGGTGGCGTACTGAAACTCGAACTGTAGCTGAGGAATCCGCTCTGTCCTGGGGAATGGCTCAAACTGTCCTCTGTCTTGATACCTGGAAAAAAAAAACAAAGAGAGGGCGACATGAAGAGGTGACCTGATGTGACCCCCTACCTCGATGTACAGCCAGAGGTATCAGGGTCAGCATGCCGCTCTCTGTGCTTCCGGCCATACAATCTGATCTGTGCAATCTCCGTGCAACCTCCTTAAGATTTACCAAGTCTATGCCATATAGGAGGGCTAGTTATTAATCCCTCATGGACATCCATCCGGGAATTGATGTATTTTAGAGTTTCTACAGAGCTAAAGTAGGGACACAACAATGTGAGACACATCTGTAGGTGTGGTGAGCAGACCGGACAGTCCACGTTGCCATCGAATGTTTTCTTTTTCTGCAGTCCGTCTGCAGGCAGAAGGAAGCATTTCCTCAGTCTCCCCCCCCCAGTGATCAGACTGTACATTGTAACTTTTTAGAAAAAGGAGGAGGCATTTCCTCAGTCTCCCCTCCCCTAGTGATCAGACTGTACATTGTAACTTTGTAGAAGGAGGAGGTGGCATTTCCTCAGTCTCCCCTCCCCCAGTGAACAGACTGTACATTGTGAGACTTTGTTGAAAGAGGAGGCATTTCCTCAGTCTCCCCTCCCCCAGTGATCAGACTGTACATTGTAACTTTTTATAAGAAGGAGGAGGCATTTCCTCAGTCTCCCCTCCCCCAGTGATCTGACTGTAGATTGCAACTTTGTAAAAGGAGGAGGAGGCATTTCCTCAGTCCACCCTCCCCCAGTGATCAGACTGTACAGTGTAACTTTGTAGAAAGAGGAGGCATTTCCTCAGTCCCCCCTCCCCCAGTGATCAGACTTTACATTGTAACTTTGTAGAAGGAGGAGGAGGCATTTCCTCAGTCTCCCCTCCCCCAGTCATCAGACTGTACATTGTAACTTTGTAAAAGGAGGTGGAAACGTATTCTTTTATTTTGTTATACTATTCATTTCTATTCTAATCTATTTTACTTGAAATTTGAATTTCGAAAGACAGTTATATTCTATTTTATTGTATTCTATTGATTTTTTTTCTATTTTATTCTTTTTTTTTTTTCTTTTTTTTATTCTATTCGAATTTGTTTTATTTGAAATTTGAACTTCAGAAGATGGTTATTTCGGAAGGCAGCTATATTCTATTTTATTTGATTCTATTTATTTTCTGTTCTATTCTTTTATTTTCTATTCCTTTTTTTCTATTCATTTATTTTCTATTCTATTTCATTCTATTCCTGTTTTTGAATGCGTTTTGTTTCCTAATTCGAATTCGAATTTGAGTTTCAGGCGAAATTTTGATTCGTTATTTTGGATTCATTTAACTTCGTTACTAATGTAATTCGGATACTCGGATACGTCCTAAACTTGGAATAATTTAAAAATTTGTCAAAATTTGGATTCGCAACGATACAAACCTTAAATGTCATGGATGCTGTAAACCTTTTGGATTTCCCACCCCCTTTCTGTCTCGGTGACAACTAGAACAATTACAGAGAGGGTGAATCTACTGCAGGGGGACACAGACCTCAAATCGGAACAGGAAGTGAGGGGAAATCTCTCCAAAGTGAAGAAAATCTTTTCTTAGACAGATGTCACCAAATTAGGAGTCTCCTTTGGAAGATTTCCCCTTCATCCCTGTTATTGTGGATTCTGTAAACCTTTGGATTTCCCAACCCCTTTCCGTCTTGGTGACAACGGTCACTAGAACAATTAAAGAGAGGGTGAATCTACCGCAGGGGGACACAGACCTCAAAAGAACCCTGATCCTAATCTTTCCTTGCTTCATCTAAAATATGAAAAAAAAGGTAACGATTGAGATGGTTTCCAACATTAAATGTTGCGATGGTTTCCACTTTCATGGATGAAGAAGCAGAGTAGACCTCAGTGGCGGATTATGATCACAGAAAAAGAAAAAGCAGTCAGCATCCCGTCCACTTCCCCAACAAAGCCGTGTTTTGTCTGGGTGGACGGGTTGAATTTATGCCGCTCTCCATAAACAATAACACCTCATTGTTCTGGATTAGCAGCCAGGTGGGAACTCTGTGAGCGCCGTATGAGTGCTGACCCCCTCGATAGGTGATCTGCAGGATTTATAGGCAACATATGGAAGTGGCATGTGGCCGCCCTACAGACACAATTCAGTAGCAAATGGCTGAGCTTTCACCTGTTCTGCCAGAACAACTGTTAGGTATTTTCCCTGGAAACGTTCCAGCCCCCAAAACGATGCAGCCGCGCTGTAAAACAACCAGACTTGAAAAATAAAAGAAAAGAAAAGGATTTGTCTGCAGGCAGAATGCCTCATTTCTATGTGGAAGGGTGGTGATGGATCTGAGGGACTTCTTAGGTACTGAAGACGTGGCGAACTGTAGTGGCGGTCTGTATAGCAGTTAGGGTGCTTCTAAACCAGGGTTGTCCACTACCCATTAAGGGACCTTAAGTGAAGACCTGAAGTGTAGAAGAACATGATTTGTCTGCAGGCAGAATGCCTCATTTCTATGTGGAAGGGTGGTGATGGATCTGAGGGACTTCTTAGGTACTGAATACGTGGCGAACTGTAGTGGCGATCTGTATAGCAGTTAGGGTGCTTCTAAACCAGGGTTGTCCACTACCCATTAAGGGACCTTAAGTGAAGACCTGAAGTGTAGAAGAACATGATTTGTCTGCAGGCAGAATGCCTCATTTCTATGTGGAAGGGTGGGGATGGATCTGAGGGACTTCTTAGGTACTGAAGACCTGGCAAACTGTAGTGGCGGTCTGTATAGCAGTTAGGGTGCTTCTAAACCAGGGTTGTCCACTACCCATTAAGGGACCTTAAGTGAAGACCTGAAGTGTGGAAGAACACGATTTGTCTGCAGGCAGAATGCCTCGTTTCTATGTGGGAGGGTGGGGATGGATCTGAAGGACTTCTTAGGTACTGAAGACGTGGCAAACTGTAGTGGCGGTCTATATAGCAGTTAGGGTGCTTCTAAACCAGGGTTGTCCACTACCCATTAAGGGACCTTAAGTGAAGACCTGAAGTGTAGAAGAACACGATTTGTCTGCATTCAGAATGCCTCGTTTCTACAGTTGTGACCAAAATTATTCAACCCCCACTGAAATTGAGTGTTTTGGCCAGTTTGACATTGCTTTTGATCATTCAGTCATCTTGCTTACATTTACATTAAAGAGGCACTTGTAGGTCAGACAAATATAACATAACAGTTATAATGAAATAACCACAAATGTCTTTTCTGTGCTCACAGCATTATCAGTTTTATTCAACCCCCAAGTGACATTCAATCTTAGTACTTAGTACAGCATCCTTTTACAGTTATAACAGCTTTTAAACGTGAAGCATAGCTTGACACAAGTGTCTTGCAGCGATCTACGGGTATCTTCGCCCATTCTTCATGGGCAAAGGCCTCCAGTTCAGTCACATTCTTAGGCTTGCGCACTGCAACTGCTTTCTTTAAGTCCCACCAGAGGTTCTCAATCGGATTTAAGTCTGGTGACTGCGATGGCCACTCCAAAATGTTCCAGCCTTTCCTCTGCAACCATGCTCTAGTGGACTTGGAGGTATGCTTGGGATCATTGTCCTGTTGAAAGGTCCAACGTCTCCCAAGCCTCAGGTGTGTGACGGACTGCATCACGTTTCCATCCAATATCTCCTGGTACTGAAGAGAATTCATGGTACCTTGCACACGCTGAAGCTTCCCTGTACCTGCAGAAGCAAAACAGCCCCAAAGCATGATTGACCCTCCACCATGCTTCACAGTAGGCAAGGTGTTCTTTTCATCATAGGCCTTGTTCTTCCTCCTCCAAACATAGCGTTGATCCATGGGCCCAAACAGTTCTAATTTTGTTTCATCAGTCCACAGAACACTATCCCACAACTTTTGTGGTTTGTCCACATGGCTTTTGGCATACTGCAGTCGACTCTTCTTATTCTTTGGAGACAGCAAGGGGGTACGCCTGGGAGTTCTGGCACGGAGGCCTTCATTACGCAGTGTGCGTCTTATTGTCTGGGCTGAAACTTCTGTACCCACATCTGACAAATCTTTTCTCAGTTCCTCAGCAGTCACACGGGGACTTCTCTCCACTCTACGCTTCAGGTAGCGCACAGCAGTCGAAGTCAGCATCTTCTTTCTGCCACGACCAGGTAGCGTTTCAACAGTGCCCTTTGCCTTGAATTTGCGAATGATGCTTCCTAAGGTGTCTCTTGGTATGTTTAACATCTTTGCAATCTTCTTATAGCCATTGCCCTTCCTGTGAAGAGAAATCACCTCTTCTCTTGTCTTCCTGGACCATTCTCTTGCCTTCACCATGTTTGTAACCACACCAGTAAATGTCTAGAAGGAGCTGAGTATCACAGTCATTTTAAAGCTGCCTAATTGGTGCTTATTATGCTTGATTGCTGCTCGGTGACATCCACAGGTGTTTTCAATACCTGATGGAAAGCACCTGTATGAACCTCTGTTCTTCAGAGTGGTAGTCTTTAAGGGGTTGAATAATTGTGGCAATGAAGAAACCACATAAGAACCATTTACTACTGTATTACATAAACAATTGATGTCATTTTAGTTGCATTTGGGTAGTTACAACGTCCTTGTAGGATTTGATTCTGAATACAATTCCAAATGTACACTATAGTCCCTAAACCCCTTTACAGCATTGGGGGTTGAATAATTTTGGTCACAACTGTATGTGGAAGGGTGGGGATGGATCTGAGGGACTTCTTAGGTACTGAAGACGTGGCAAACTCTAGTGGCGGTCTTTATATCAGTTAGGGTGCTTCTAAACCAGGGTTGTCCACTACCCATTAAGGGACCTTAAGTGAAGACCTGAAGTGTAGAAGAACACGATTTGTTTGCAGGCAGAATGCCTCGGTTCTAAGTGGAAGGGTTTGGTCAGGAGTGGTGGTGATGGATCTAAGGGATTTCTGATCCTAGTCCCATCATATACAGCCCTGGCCAAAAGTTTTGAGACTGACACAAATATTAATTTGTCGTCAAGGAAACACGTGCAGCCGTTATTTCTTT